TGTTGTTGCAAGGGCGGCGGGCGGGGCTTGAGGATGACGCGCCGCCCGTGGGCGGGGCCAAGGACGGGGGCGGGGCCTCATGGAGTTGGGGTGCCCGTGATGGAGGATATTGGAGGTTGGGGGCGTCTAGAAAGAGCCCTAAAGGCTTGGCCTTCCCTCCCAAAGATCTAGGACAGGAGTTGGGGATTCTGGTGCCCAGAGGTGTGGGCGGACTACAACTCCCATCATCCCGGCCCCTTTGCAGGGGACGATGGAAGCCGGAGGCCAGCCCCATCCATGGCTCCCCTTCATGGCCTCCAAAGAGAGGAGCTCTTTCTAAGGGGATTTGGGCGCCTGCAGGCAAAGGCAGAGAAAGCACAGCACGGGCTCCGTCAAGATTTAGAGTCATAATTAAGACTGGAACATGAGACCGTAATTAAGACCTTCGGCCGAGATGATTTAAACGGCCTTCACCAGCAAAGATGTGTTACTTGGGACCTTTTCGGAACCTTTCAGGCGGGGAATTCCCAGGCTCTCCACCTCTTGCAGGATTTGGACAGCCTGGCCGTGTTTTGTTTCGGCGCATTATCATTTCCTAATTCTCTATTTGGCTTCATCGGGCTGTGGGAAGCGGTTCCGCCGGGGAGACCCTTGGCGAGGGGCACCGCCGGGTCCTGCGCGCGCTCTCTCTCTCTCTGCCGCCCAGGCGGCCCTCATGGCTCTCCTCCCTTTTATTCCTTCCCCTAGGAGTCTTATCCGGCTGTCCCTCCGATCTGGTCCGTGGAGTCGGACGACCCCAATCTGGCCGCCGTTCTGGAGAGACTGGCGGACGTGAAGAAAGGAAACACTTTGGTGAGGGAGTGGAAATAAGAATAAGAAAAAAGGAGCCCCTTTCGGGGAGAGGGTAGCTGCTCTGAAGATGGGGGCCCGCCTTCCGCCTCTTAACCTCTGCTCTTGTTCTCTCCTTGGGAAGCTCCTCCAGCACCTGAAGCGGATCATTTCGGACCTCTGCAAACTCTACAATCTTCCTCAGCATCCGGATGTTGAGATGCTGGACCAGCCGCTGCCCGCCGAGCAGGTAAACGTCTCTGAAGCCAAGGGGAACGTGCCTGTCGGATCAGGTCTAACTGTGAGGGGACACCTTGAAGCCTTGGAAATGTTTTCAACGTCAGCCTCTGGTCAGAGCTAGTGAGGGGTTCTGGCAGTTATGGGCCACGTCATCCCGGTCTCAATATTGTCCTTAGCTGCTCCTTTCAAGTGGATGCTTGCTAGATATTTTTAATTACACTGCCCATTATCCCCTGCAGCAACGGCCAGAAGTATTCCCCTTCTTGAACCAATAAGTGGTGCATCCATCCACCACAGAATGACTTGATCTGGCAGTTATGGGCCACGTCATCCCAGTCTCAATCAATATTGTCCTTAGCTGCTCCTTTCAAGTGGATGCTTGCTAGATATTTTTAATTACACTGCCCATTATCCCCTGCAGCAACGGCCAGAAGTATTCCCCTTGTCTTCTTGAACCAATAAGCGGTGCATCCATCCACCACAGAATGACTTGACTTACAGGATCCAGCTGTCAAACAGTTCTTTGGGTCACTTTGCGGGCGCTATCCTGCGAACAGGATAACCTAGCTCTGCCATCACAAATACGTCACATTCATCCACCTTAAACCCAAAGGAATTGGGTGCTTTTGAGGAGGCGTTTTTAATATCCACAATTCTAGAAGTAGTAACGCCTCTGTGGTTTATTTCTAAACATGAAAGGGACAGAAAGCAAGTTAAAGCAGTGGGGCATTGTAAGCGTAAGATGACCTGGCTTTTTCCCATTTCAGAAACTTTGCTAGACGGCTAACTGAAAAGAAGTAAGTGGTAATCCTGTTTTTGGCCAGGCTGATGAAAGTTCAATCCTTTTTGAAAATCACTTGTCTTTTTAAAGCATGTCTAGTCAGGGCTCTGGCTGGAGAAGCAGTTGGACCAGTAACAAAAATGACAGTCATGACACAAGAGGAAAACAGAATGAGGAGGGTAGAGAAGACAAAGGCATTGGTTCAGAGCATTGCCGAGTTCATGTAACCACTGGAAATGGAGCAGAGACTGTTTTGTATCCAGTTTTTGGCGCTATCTACGTGTTGTAGTTGGTGTCAGAATGGTTTGCTAGTCTGCTTTGCTTTACGCTCTCCTTTTTTCTCACTTCATGTTCCGTAGAGCACCCAGGAAGAAGTCTCCTCAGAAGAGGAAGATGAGGAAATGCCAGAGGTATGAGTTCAGTTTTTATGCCTTTAAAAGAGAAATCCCAGGAACAAATGCCAGCCTTCTGTTCGCCCTCCTGCCGAGCCATCCTTTCATTGCTGTTCCCTTCAGAAATTCTGCAGCCTGAATGGTTGAGTTCCGAGATTAGAATCCAGCCTGAAAATCCTTGTTTTTCCCTCCCTCAGGACACAGAAGAACTCGACCACTACGAGATGAAGGACGAAGAGCCGGCGGAAGGCAAGAAGGCCGAAGACGACGGCATCGGCAAGGAGAACCTGGCCATCCTCGAGAAAATCAAAAAGAACCAGAGGCAAGATTACTTAAATGTACGTGTCACCTGGTGGGGAGGGAGGGGGAGTGGAAGGAGGGGTGGAAGGAGGAGGGCCACCGGCCAGACTTTGAAGAGCAGCCTTTCCTCTTGGCGCCCAGAGTGGGGCTCCTCTCAGATCTGCTCCTCTTTGGAAGTGCTTTTAGGGTCCCTGTGGGCAAAGTTGACCGTTGACTTCACTCTCCTGGTAGTGGTGTTTTTACGTGCGGTCACGTCTCCTCCGATTTACGGCCAACCTCCCAAGAGCTCCCGTCCTCAGCTCAGCTCTTCCTGGGGTATCTTTTAGGGAGTCAGTTCATCTCGCGTTTGATCTTCCTCTTTTCCTGCTGCCTTCCTCCTTTCCCAGCTTTATGAGCTGTTCCAGAGAATCCTACCTTCTCTCGAGGTGCCCAAAGCGAGACAGCCTCGCTGTCAACGTTTTTAGTTCAGGCTCGATTTGATCGAGGACCCACTTGTTCATCTTTCTGGCCGTCCACGATATCCACAAAGCGCTTCTTCAGCACCGACGTGTCTGCTCCCAGCCTAAAATCCACGGCGGGGCAGAAAATGGCAGAGGTACATTCTCCCAGCTCCCATGACAGCCTAGATCAGCTGCGTGGTCTTGTCACTGTGCTTAAAATCTTCTAGTCAGCAGTGTTTTTCCAGTCTTGGCCCTAAAGAGATAACTGTTACAAATTGCTAAGAGATCTGTGCTGTTTTGTGTTGTGACAGCTTGAACTCTCCTGCCTCGTCGCCCGTTGGTAGGGCTGGCCCTTGAACCAAAGTTTCGAATTTTAACAGACCTAACGCTTAGAGAAATCGAATTGTTTTTACATTCCGGGGCGCCAAGATTCTCTCTCTCTCTCTCTCCTTGTGTTTCTTGAAGAAAGCATGTCTCTGCTTTGTAAAGACGCGCTTTGGGCAGAAGAGGTGGACTTGATAACGGGAAACCTTTGAGAGGGGAGCAGGATGGGTCAAAAGTTCTGTGTTTCTGAGGAAGCTAGTCCGAAGGTGTTTCTCTCTGGGTATCTTGTGCCTGCGCATGGACACCATGAGCGTCAGAACAAAATTCAATCTTGATGCCTGAAAAATCAAGCTCGTTCTGGCTGTGTAGTTGCTGGATAGCCCAGTGGTTGAGGTATCTGGTTCACGTCTCCACAGTGCCTCCTTGACAAGGGCTGAACTTGGTGATCTAAAGGGTCCGTTCCAGCTCTGCCGTTCTAAGATTATTAGATTATTGTTACTCTATTTTGGCAATATCCATGAAGCCCAGCCTTGGGAAGACCCACGAGCGTCATTTCAAACTCTTAACTCACCCATAAACATCCTGTCATCCTCCAGAGTGACCAAGAAAGGAAATCTCAAAGGGGACCAAACAAATCTTTGATTCTTGCTGACTTTCATATTTCGGCCCTGTGATGTTGCTGATGTCCTCTTCTGATTTATTCGAAGTCACGGAAGAGATGCTGGTTTTCCCTCTTTCCTTTGATGGCCTCAGGAGGTTTTGCGTATGGAGATTCATATGGTGAAAGAATTTTTCTTTTTTTTAAAAAAACCCTTCTTTGGCCCATATTAGCTGGGATGCTGTACATTTCTAGGGGCTGAGAGGATACTCGGTTTCCTTGCCCTCCCCACTCACTCCTAGCTGAGCCCTTGGAATACACATAATCTCTCTTTATCCAGACATACTCCGCTTCTCATTCTGTTACTTAAACAGGACTGAGCCTTTGAGTGAATCTTTGTTGCTGTCAGGTGTGGTTTTCTGAAGTATTCATAAATTGGTGCATTTGCTGATGGTTTCTACACTTACTGCGCTCCTGTTCTTTGGCTGGCGAGGATTAAGCGTGCTAAGCGATAACAACTTTTTAAGAAGCTTGGGCTCTATAAGACATAAACAGCCAGCATCTGTTTGCTCTGCTCTTTGCCTTTGAGAAAGCAAGAATCATCTCCCTGACCTGCTAAGATTTTATTTTGTGTGTGTGTGTGTGTGTATTGCATCCTGAAAAATTGGGAGAAATGGACTGTTTTTATATGCCGTTAGAATCAATTTATCAGCCTTGTACTGTACAAAGTTTGCACCAAATGGCTCCAACATAGAATCTTAGACCTCCTAGATCAGGTTTGAAGCCTTTCTGGCTCTAGAGGCCGCGTCTCACTGCAAGCCGCCCGACGACACCTCCGTGGGAAGCCTGCAAACAAGACCCGAATTTGACGGGACCTTCCCGTTGGGGTTCTTTCAAGGCGGGCTGCTTCGGAACAGGGAGGTTCTGCTTCTGATGGTTGGGGCTAATAAGAGCAGAAAGGGAACATAAAAGCATCAGGCTATAACCAGTGTTTTCAGATTCCAGGCTCCCCCCCCCAGATGCAAAAGAAAACAGGACCAGTGAGCATCATACACTTCTGTTTATTAGAGGCCATCTTTGGTCGATACACCCTGGAAAGATTTGTAAACACATATTTCTGGGTCTTTTTTTAATTGAGTATTACAGTGGATTCCTGTCTTTCTTCTGAATCTGGAATTTCTATAGAGCTCTCAAGCCTGATAGCCATTAAGAAACACTTTTCTCCTCCAGAAGACATGTTAAATGACTTTCGAAACCCTGCTCCTGAGGTGTGGCAGACCTTAATCCTGCGTGGCATCCTTGGATCCTGTCCCAGTTTTTTTCCTCCCCTCTCCTTCCACGTTCCTGTGTTTTGAGACCGGAAGAAACCCCCCCCCCATCTCTGTCCTTTGTGGAGGAACGGACAACCCTGTGTCTTTGGGGGGGGGGGAAATTAGAGAAGCGATACCGGTTGCTGGACTCACGGAGATGTGAGCCTAACCCCAAGATCCCCCCCCTTGCTCTCCCGTAGGGCGCAGTATCTGGGTCCGTGCAGGCCACCGACCGGCTGATGAAGGAGCTCAGGGATATTTACCGATCGGCGAGTTTCAAGGGCGGTAAGTACCCGCGTGTGGATTTGCTGGGGACGTTGGCGTCTGGTTTGGTCACGGGTGTGTGTGTGTGATGGGCGGGTTGTAAGCCTAGCTCTGGCGTTGCTGCGGGTGGAATGGTTTCACCATGGGTCAGATGGGGAAGGATTATTCACGGTGTTTGCCCACGAACCTCCTCTTCAGTAGCGTTGAATCCTCCTTTGTTTCTCCCTCCAGGGAACTACGCAGTTGAACTAGTGAATGACAGCTTGTACGACTGGAATGTCAAACTCCTGAAGTAAGTGACTCGTGGGAAGCGGGGCGGTTGTCTAGGCACAAAGCCAGGCATGCTCTGTGACTTTCTAGGCATCATCCGCGATCTGGTTGCAAAGCCAGGTGAGAAGGATGATGTTGGGACCTCGTCATTTCCGGCCGCGTACCCTTCTCTGCTTGGAACACACACTGTTTTATTTATTTCTTCAAAATACTTTTTATTTGTTGGTTGTTTTTTTAATTTTTACCTCGCCCCTTTCTCCTTCAAAAAAAAAAGGACCCGAGGTGGCTTACATCGTTAAAAGACAATATTTCTAGCTAAAAACAGGAGTTTACAGATACTAAAAAAAAAAAAAAACCAAACCGATAGCACAGAGAAATGGTAAACGAAAGCGGTATCAAAGCAGGAAGGCACAGCCATCCATTGAAAAAAACCCCACTCACGGCGCCCGTCATTGAGGGGAAGCCTGCCTGAAGAGCAAGGTCTTGGCCTGCTTGCAGAAGGAGAGCCAAGATTTTGGGGGGGGGGGGGCGAACCTGGTTTCCAGTGGCAGGGAGTTCCACAGTCTGGGAGCAGCCACCGAGAAGGCCCTCCTGTCCCGTGTCCCCCTCCAAATGGACCTGTGAAAATGACAGCGATCAAGGCCCCACAGTTCTCCAGACTCGGTCCCGCTGCCTGGGGAGATTCTAAGAATTGACATTTCTAAGCTCTCCCTATTTCGGGACCTGCGAGCGAGGGGCCTGGGATTTGAAATCGGCCTTCCTTGGGACCCCAAACGTTAGAAACCGCTCCTCCTCCTTTCAACGGTGGCCTCTGTAGCTACAGTAGCCTTAAGAGCGGGTTGTCCCTTCTCTGTTTAAATGCCCCCCCTTGGAAGAGAGCCTCCCCTTGGACCGTTGGGCTTGCCTTGGGTTCGAGTCCTCCAACTGCCCTGCCCAGCTGCCTCTCCTCCTCTGACGAGCGCCCCCCCCGTCTGCTCCTTGTCTTTCCAGGGTGGACGAGGACAGCGCCTTGCACAGTGACCTGCAGATCCTGAAGGAGAAAGAGGGGGCAGAGTTCATCCTCCTCAATTTCACCTTCAAGGTGAGTGGGACGGGAGGCTCGGCGGCTCGGGGGGCGACGACGAGAGAAGAGGGCGAAGGGTCGCGCTTCTGAGCACCCCGCTCAGCCTCCTATCTTTTCCTTGCAGGACAACTTCCCTTTCGACCCGCCCTTCGTAAGGGTCGTGTCTCCTGTGCTGTCGGGAGGGTGAGTGCCCGATCCGCGGGGGTTTCCCGTTCTCCCCAAAGGCCCTGGGCTGGAGGGCTCGCGATCACACCCGATGTAGGGGCTTGAGAGCCGTATTACATGCCTGCAGTTTTCTTTCTGCGTAGCATGGCATTTTACAGTTTAAAGTAATGTTATGCTATCTAATATTCAGGAAAAACCGATGTGTGTGTGTGTGGTTTTATTATCACCAATGTCGCACATCAAGAGAGAGGGCAGGGATAGGGCAGAACATGGCACAGGGGGTGGGTGGGGGGTCTTGTTCGCTCCCCAGCTTTTTGGTTCATTTCTCTGGGCCTTCCCCCCTTCCCTGCCTTTCTTGTCTTCTCCGCTCTGCGGCGCACAGGTACGTTCTGGGCGGAGGCGCCATCTGCATGGAACTTCTCACAAAGCAGGTGAGCCGCCGAGAGGACTGGTGGGCGGGCGGGTGGGCGAGGGTCCGCAGCCGCTGGCGGCCGGCTTCACCCCAGCTTCCTCTCTCCCCTCGTTCCTAGGGCTGGAGCAGCGCCTACTCGGTGGAGTCCGTGATCATGCAGATCAGCGCCACCCTGGTGAAGGGCAAAGCCCGGGTCCAGTTCGGCGCAAATAAAGTAAGGGAGGGCTGCGGATCGGGCTCTGATCCTCTCTTTCTGGTCCCTCGTCCTGTCCCGGCTCCACATTCAGGGCAGGAAAGGGTGGCTCCCCCCATCTTCAGGGCTGAGTGCCAGCTTGCGATGATCCAGAAGTGGTTTGAGTATAAATCCCGCCCTTCCCTCTGGTTGATTGTGCGCTCCTAGGAGGCGTAGCCTCGTTGGTGAGGGCCCCGGGCGCCTCCCTCTCCGGTTTAAGCTTATTGCATCTTGGGGTGTGGCGGGTACAAATCGGAACTCTCTGGGTCTTGAGCGACAATCTCTTTCCCTCTTCCTCCCCCCCCCCCGGCAGAACCAATACAGCTTGACAAGAGCACAGCAGTCGTACAAATCCCTGGTGCAGATCCACGAGAAGAACGGTAAGGACTAGCCACTTGGAAGCATTCAGATTTGGGAGGCAGCGAAGTCTCTTTTTTCAGGGTTCAGGGGCTCGCTCCTGGTCCCTCGGCAAAAAGTCCGGGACAGATCTTGAAAGAATGAGTTGCCAGCGTTTGATTCCTGGGAACAAGGAAACGCAGAACCCTGATTCAGCGTGTATGAGGGGCTGGTTGCCGTCTATAGCAGGGGTCCCCAGCCTCCGATCTGCGGCCCGGCGCTGGTCCGTGGGCTTGCAGGAACTGGGCTGCGTAGACAGATCTCTGCTTCCCCCCACAAAATTTCCCAAAAAAGTTGGGGACCGCTGTTCTGCACAATTAGAGCCTAGGGAGAGATGTCCTCGAGTTGTCGGTAAGCCTGAAAATATTCAGATTTTAGACCGGAGTTATTACAGTAGCAGCCAACTCAAAGGGATGTAGAGCACCTTGTTTTTTTTTTCCTCCCTGGGTCACCCAGAGTTGGCAGCCAGTCTCTTAGGCAAATAGTCTCTTCTGAGCGGCCTACCCCACAAGACTGTTGTAAGGAGCAGAGCCCCCCCCCAGAGATGGAGAAGGGGGAAGGAAACCCACCCTTGACCTGTTGGTGTTGTTGTTCTCACAGGCTGGTACACGCCCCCCAAGGAAGACGGCTAGCGCGTGGGGAGGGGGGACGGCCGAGCCGGCAGCCCGGGACCAAGCCTTGACTTCCCCACCGAACGCTGCGGCGCGCGGACCGTCGACGGACACCTCCTCGTCCTCCCCGGGCCAGGGGACGGCCGAACGCCCGCGCCGCGAGCCTCTCTCGTCGGGCCGCTCGGACGGACTGA